TTGCATGACCAGTTCAACTATCCGTATTGTAACCTAGTACTTATAGTAAACATGTATATACATGAGGCATACCGTTAAAGTGTTATATATAGACTTCATTAAATAATTGCAGAACATGTTAAAACAAAATGATCGACAGTTTAAAAACCAATCATGACTTCAATAATGTTGAAAATATAAATACGAATATACATGGACCTATGTGATCTCGATCTCATTTAGAAATTATAGAACCTAATTTATTGCATGAAACGCTCAGTACAATTATTTCATAGACACAAATTAAATGAAATCAAATCACACCACATTGCGTATATCTCACGAAACTTTGTCATTGATATTGACATTGTATTCTTTTAAAGTGGAAGTCCTGCACATTAAGCAATGCTGTTAATAAAAATGTAAGATATTTCATTATTTTATTACATGTATAATTTACCTTATTTTGTAAATGATTTGAATAACTATACGTGAATCTTTGGAATTATTAATTGATTATTATATACTTTTTGAAAAAAAATCAGATCATATTTTTTTCAATTTAAGTAAAAAAGAAATATAACAGTTTCACATGCATCAACATCTAAAAATATGATAAACAAGGTCAACAATGAAAGGCGGTGTTCAATGAACGCAACCCCCTACACGATCCAGCAATAAGGAGCCAAGGAGGACAAAAAAAAACAGTTGAGAGTAGGGGGACTCGAGGGTCGGGGAGGGTGGGAAATTAAAAAAAAAGCTAGGGACACAAGGGAAGGTACTTACCGTAGACGAGAAAACATCAAGAATAGACACAAAAGTGCCACCATAACAGTGTAAAACAAAAGAGAGAAAATACTTTCTATATATTTTCAAGCAAAGTTTTCAACTATCTTAGTTTTGGAGAATAAACAAACTACCAGTAATATTATCATGTATGATGTGAAAGCGAAATTAACATCGCATACAATGGTAAGAAAATCTGTCTCTTTATGATCTACAATATACCCGTAAACAACATTAATTTTGCAAATTCAATGTGTCGCAAATTCAATGTGTCGCAAATTCAATAATTGGTATGGAAAGCATACAATTTTAATGACATTTAGTAAGATTATCGAATACAATAGACCAACAATACATAAATTGCAAATATAAATGTTAATACTGAATATACATACCTCACTAAATTGTTGAGTTTTAGGTTCAAATTTTACTATTTCACGTTTAAATGTTGAATTCTGCTTAAGCCGGTGCTAGGGGTGTGGACGGTAACTTGCACTTTCCAGTACCGTCCATGAGCAGGCTCAATCAAACCGAGCCTGCAACATTTTCAAATTTGCCGTGTTGGGCTTTCTTTAGGGATTCTGTATTTATCTATTTTAGGGGTAGTGTAAATGAAACTGATTTGCACTACTTAATACGTTATTTATTTTCCTTTCATGAAGATACTGATATAATACTATTTAACCTATAGCTCTTCAGCGCTTCTTATGTAAAATTCTTCCAAGTATAATTTCCAATAACCGTAAATACCCAGACTATGGTATAATTTTCAGTTTTGAAGATCGAAGGAGTAAGTGTTTCTGGGCGGAGCTATAGGTTAAAACAGTCACGTCTCGTGAGGTTAAGGCATAAGAAAGGTCACGTGATTATGGTATAATTTACGCAAACCTAGAAATCGTCAACGCAGCAATGGTATATCTATTACACAACCCTCACTATCATGTCCGCAAAAAGGATTTGTTCAAACATACAATACAATGTAACATTGCATTTACCTATAACATGAAGAAAATAAAAAGTAACAAAGAGCACTAACTTTAAAATGAGTCAAGAATGCGTTATGGTTTCTGTGCACTGCGCACTCAATATACTTGACCATTGTACGAACTTGTATTGAATTCTAACAAGTAGTTTTCATGCTATGCTCTGCGACAAGAAAAAGTAACAAAAGAAAATAACTCTATAATTACTCTGCACAGAGTTATCGTTCTTGTGCACTGCACTTACTCTTATTGTGATTGACCTTTGTATGAAGTTACATTGAATTTCAACCATTAGTTTTCAAGTGATGCACTGGACAAGAAAAAGTTATGAAACTGTGATCAGTCAAAATTGAGTTATGCATCTTGTGCACAGCAATTTCTGTCAATATGCTTGACCATTGTATGAAGTTGTATTAAATTCCAACCATTAATCCCTAAGTTATGCTCTTGACAAGGAAAACTAAACGGACCGCTAAACAGACCGACCAACCGACCGACCAACAGGTGACTTCTATATACCCCTAAGACTTTTGTTTCGGGGTTTAATAAATATTTTATTAAAAATATATCCCCACGGGGAACTGGAACTCTCGCCCCTCGGATATTATAGGTTCCGATTCTTTAAAGTCTGATTCTCTACCGACTGAGCTAGCTGGATGCACCATGTCATATTAACCCGGGAGGTATGAAAATCCGTGAATACACGAAAGAACATGTTTTACTATATTTATATGGTAGAAGATGTGAAACATGTTATGTAACACTGTCCATTCTATACCTTTACAATTCAAAGAAAACCTATTTGAGTCTGCAAGAACAACTGATAATAGTTTTGACAACTTACTGGTGTTGAAAAAAGTGCATACCGTTTTTGTTAATTAACGTATGGCTAAAAGTACAGCCATAACCTAAATTAATATTTTAAAACATAGAGTTACGTTTTCTTCTTTATTGTTGGAATTTTTCTCATTGTTTTACTTTCTCTTTTAAATATAGATGTTTTATGTCAGAGTGTTCGTTTACTTTATAGAAATTTAATTTTATTCTATACATCAGACCAGTAAATTGCCTTATATAATATCTTTTAGGTACATGGGTAGAAATATTTAAGCTTAAAACAAATGATAGAATCACAACATTCCAATAACATTTAAAGCAAGGTGTGTATTGTATATATTTAATTATGATTTTATTATAATTTTCCTATGTAAATTATGCTAACAGGTCTCATATAATTCTTTATTGAATGGCATATGCACTTATATAAGGTTTGTTCATTTTGATTGTGATGTATTTTATGTACATGTGGTGAGACAAAAATAAACTATTTGAATTAAATTGAATGTAATTTAATACCCTGAGTACACTTGTTATATAATAAATAACATCGAGAAGTGAATCCGACAACTCCAGTGGTGTCACAAATCGGCTAAGAAAATAGATAACTAGGAAACTTTAAAAACACCTTACACGTCCAAACTGTAATGGTGCATTGACCCTGTTCATCATAAGCGGTAGTGGTGAATGCAAATTCAGTGTTCCACTTTTTGGCAAATTTATGTCACAAAAAGTTAGAATAAGTTTATAATTAAGTTTGTAGAATACTGAATTGTTATATGAATGTTAATTGCCAAACAGAATATTTATATTTTAGATTCCGTTACTTTAAAGAAGCACTGAGCAAAGTCTGACTGTATGATATACAAGTGTAATTAAAATAACCTGGATAAAGCATTACAACAGTATATCACTGAATACGAAGTATAGGAAAAATTATATATTTTTCTGGTTCTTAGGACTCATTGATTCCAGTATGTCTAACTGTTTAAAATTGTTTACTACTCATCCCAGTGCTGGGGGCATTGAGTGTGTTTCCTTTTTTCATTATACCTCGTGTACAGTCTCAATCAAACGAGTTTCAATTTTCGTGTATTTTTTATGGTTTTTTATGCTTCCGATGGATCACTTTTTCCCTTTAAATGTGTCCTTTTGAAAGTAGGAAAGAAAATATATTTCTGAGACTTAACAGCATGAATGAAAGGGTTGCAAAATACACCGGTCAGATTTTATCAACTTGTATTAAATTTATTAATGTTTGATTGGCAAAATACAATATTGAATTGTAATATACGGCCTGATTATTTACAGAACACATTTCTAAATATATGATGCATTTGTAATTGTATTTTGCATGAATACTCACGTGTGTTATTAACTTTTCATGAATGTGAAAGACTAAATCATAGCATTGCTTCAGTCTCCCGAAGGTTCTGTTGTTATTGCTGTTCTTTCACTTTTCTTAGACAAATGTGGATGGGCCAAATCATTTCATTCCACTTTAATATTTATAAGCCATAAAAATCTAGTTGTTACACAAGTGCCACTAAACAACTTCCTTTTTTTACAATTGTCTACAATAGCAAAAATTTAAACGAAAATCAAGAAATATATCATTTATGCTATTTTTAATTTCGATAACTTCCATGTAAATATAAACATTTCGTTTGAAATATATCAATATCAAAAAGAAAAAAATATTTTCTAGTTAGGACAATATATTTCTTTGATATACATCTCTTGAAATAAAGATTGTTCCTGATATTTCAAATATTTGGAAACCTAATTTTTGCAAGATCCTTTCTCATTAACACTTGATGAGTGACTTTTGAGATTATATAAATATAATCAATATTATATACCATATCTTTTGCCATCATATCATATATTTTATACACGTGAGCGAGATTGGTCCTGCCTCGTAAACAAAAGGACCCCCTCAAAAAGGGTGATTTAAATTAGATAGAGACGACATTGGAAGTTATAAATTGGTGTACCTGTACATGAATGTATAACCTATGATTTGTGTGTTTTGGGATTTATTTAATTACTACCGACAGTTTTCTTCTTATCAGCGTCAGAAGAAAAACAATAGATTTTACTGCCCAAGGCGCAAAGACGCTATATACTAGTAGTGTACTACGGTGTTTGTGAATTGTCAATAGGAAAAGGCGGATTATTGACAGTGATAATTGTTATATCGTATTGGATTTAAACTGGACATTAAAGGATTACCTATACTGGGTATTATATTTTCATTTACTGTCTGATTGATTCATTGACACTAACATTTATCGACGGCCATACTAATGACGCCCGTTGGTCTTATTTATTTTGTGACTTGAGAAGAAAGGATTATTGGGAAGAAAATCGCTGCCCGAAAATTCGTCACGCATGACTGACGCGCTGATAAGTATGGCTAGCCAAAGTGACATTACTCAAAACTTCACACCCGATATTAATGAAAACAGCGGTAACAGCACGGATCTTACACAGCCACCAACGCAAGATGTAATAATACCGTATGCTTTATTTACACCACAGGAAAACACTTCGATTATTGCGAGTGACAATTCTGTGGACGCTACTATGGACACAATGGAAAGCGAACTGCCGGAATGCTCACAGAATTCAACACCTCAATCACCGTCGATTATCTCGGGATCACCGACCCTTCCAAACGCCAAGAAACGTCGAACCGGAAGGAGTACATTAAAGTCAGTAAAATCAGGAAAGGGCGAAAAAGCCCATGAAAAAGCAAAAATGAAAAATGATAATACAAAGGATTCTGACAAGAAAAAAGGTAGAAAACGTGGACGTGTAAAGTCGGGAGATGAAAATGTAAAAGATAAAGAGAATGAAAAATTCATGAATGAGAACGAGTGTGTAGTAAAGGCTATAAACCGCCTTGCTGAAGAAATGAAATCCATTACAACGAGTATTAGTGTGCTATCATCGCATATTCACAGCCTTGAGTCAACCATGGAAACAAAGGTGAAAGAACAAGTTGAAAAAGAAATCAAACCTTCAATTGATAAAGTAAAGAAAGATTTTAATGATGAGATAAAGGCAATAAGAAATGAAATGAGAAAAGAAATGAATGAAATGTCCAAGAAATATATTGACAAAATCTGGAAACGGAGACATCTCTTCGACGTCAATTGAAACATTGCAAGATCAGTAAGGAAAGAAACATTGTTATTAAAAATCTGCAGGAAACAAATGAAAGTACTGACGTGCAAGTGAATGACATTTTGAAATATGGAATGAAAGTTGAATCTTCAGAAAGAAAACAACCAAGGAGAGACGGTGAAATCGGAGTAGTGGTTGCTAAATGCAAAACAAAGGAAGATAAAAATGAAATTATGAAATCCAAATCGAACTTGAGAAACACAAGAACTTACAAAAACGTTTATATTGAACATGACAGGCCGAAATCGGAGAGAAACACTATTTCGAATTTAAAAACTATCGCCGGAGTTATCGGAAATGATAAAGTTATGATCCGTGGAAATCGTCTCTTACCACGGAGATACTCGGACAATAGCGATCATTGGCGATACTCAAACAACAGATATAATATTAATGACAGGAAAGCGGGTTTCCGCGGAAACAATACGCACCACCAACAACGTTATCAAAACCAGTATCGCGACAATGGCTATGAAAGATCACGTGACAGATCACGGGACGATGAAAGGAGTCGGCCAGACCGATACGATATTTACGAACGTTACGATAAATATCACGACAGGATCGAATACTCAAATGGCTATAGTAACTACTAGGTCAGGTGCGGGTTCTGGAACCCGAATGGGTTTAGTAAAGATACTGATTCTGAAAACTATACTCTGAGAAAACATTGCATAGAATATTTAGATCTCGACATTATATGCATATCAGAAACGCACTTACAAAAAGATAGAAACTTAAATATAGATGAATATAAATGGTTCGGAAAAAACAGAAGCGGTCTACATAAAAATGCACCAAAGGGGAGTGGTGGTGTTGGTATCCTAGTCAAAGCTCGTTTGCTTGAACAATTTGATATCGAAATATTAAACGCAGAACACGAGGGAATAATGTGGCTAATCCTCGATGATAAACAGACTCATGAAAACCTTAGGATATGCGTTTGTTACCTTCCGCCTTCCAATTCCACAAGAGCCCTGAACATTAATGACTATTTTGACACATTGTTATCCCATGTATATGAATATCAAAGTGCAGGATTAATAACCATTGTTGGTGACTTCAATATTCGTGTTGGTGAAAAAAGAATGACTACATTCCCGGCGTAGATCTGGTACCACCCAGAGATGTAATAGACTTTACTACAAGCCAATATAGTGACACATTCATTGACTTTCTTCTAAGTGCAAACCTTTGTATATTGAATGGGCGGAAAACAAAAAACAATGACTTCACAAGCATTTCATCCAAGGGCAGCTCGGTGGTTGATTATTGTCTTGTGCCTTACGAACAGTTAGAGAAGTTTATAGAATTCGAAGTTAAGCGAGCTCCTGAACTTGTGAATGAGGCACTTGGTGTAGAAACATTAGAGAATATAAAAATTCCAGACCACTCAGTACTAATATGGAATATTATGTTGAATGAAAGAAATAGAAACAATCACACAAGCAGTGAATTAAAGGCTGAACAAAAGACCTATATACGATATAAACGAAATGATATTCCAGATATTTTTATGAATGAAGAAGAAATTCATTGTCAATTAAAATAAAAGATACGAATTCTCGAAAGCAACCAAAATGAGCAATCGTGCATTGATGAATCCTACGGAGATTTTGTGGAAATATTGAAAACCCAAATGAACAAATATTTAAGCCCCAAACAATTGGACGACAGTTCAAAGGGAAATAATAGAAAAAGAAGATTACAAAAACCTTGGTGGAATACTAATCTTTCGGAATTATGGCAAGATATGTGTAAAAAGGAAAAAGGCATGGAATAAATGCGATAGTAGCGCCAGACATATGAAACAACAATTCAAATTTGAATTTAAGCAAGCTAGAAACATTTTTGACAAGACTGTTCAGAAACGAAAGTGTGAACATTGGCGAAAAACACAAGTGCAATTACTTGAATCATGTGATAATAAACAGCCTGGTGAATTCTGGAAAACCATCGGGAAAATAGGAGTTGGAAAGGAGAGAACAAATGAAATCCCAATGGAAACAACGCTAGCAGACGGAAGCATTACGACATCACAAAAGAAAGTTCTTGACAATTGGAAAGATGCTTTTAAGTCACTATTTACAAACAATTATGATATAATGGAGCATACGGATAATATAGATGCGTCAAATACAGGCACGTTTAATAGTGATATACTCAATGAAGGCATACCAATAAATGAAGTAGAGAGAGCGGTCAAATCTCTTAATTTGAATAAGGCAATGGGCAATGATGAGGTCCCGGCGGAAGCTATTCAATCCCTCACATGCATCGACTATTTACATAAACTATTTTGTGTTTGTTTCGCCACAGGAAAGATACCTAAAGTTTGGAGTGACGGAATAATTACACCAGTGTTAAAAAATCCAAGTGCTGATAAAACTGATCCTGGAAATTATAGAGGGATAACTGTAACTTCTGCTGTATACAAAGCTTACTGCTCCGTACTAAATGCACGTTTAGTTAAGTGGTGTGAGGATAATGAAATAGTCTCGGACTCACAAAACGGATTTCGACGAAATAGAAGCACCGTTGACCACTTATCGACACTGACGGATATCATTGAAAACAGGAAAAAACATAAACAGTCGACTTTTGTGTGCTTGGTCGATTTCAGCAAAGCCTATGACAGGATAGAGAGACAAACCCTTTGGCATAAAATGTAGAAACTCGGTTTTAAAGGTAACACGTTACTTGCAATCAAATCTTTATACAAGGATGTGCGATGTGCGGTGAAAATTAATAATTACACAACTGAATGGTTCCAAGTAGACATTGGCTTGAAGCAAGGGTGTCTGCTTTCCACGACAGCATTTAACATTTACATTGATGACCTAAGTAAACAACTAGAAGAATTGAACATTGGTATAAATATAGATGGACGAACTATTTGCCACCTCCTCTATGCTGACGACTTAGCACTCATAGCCGAAAACGAAGAGCAACTTCAAGTAATGATATACTGCCTGGGGCGTGGTGTAATCGAAACAACATGACGGTGAATATTGATAAAACAAAGGTGGTGCATTTCCGTAGAAATACAGTTATAAGAAGTAACTTTACGTTCAAAATAAATAATATCTTAATAGACTACGTTGACCGATACAAATACCTCGACTTGATGTTAAATGAAACAATGGACTACTCACAAATAGCTAAGTATGTAGCCGACGCTGCCACTCGATCGCTTGGATTACTAATAAGCAAATTCAAAGTGATGGGAGGAATGCCATATAATGTGTTCACCAAACTTTATGACAGTATGGTGTGGCCCGTAATTAGTTATGGTGCCGCGGTATGGGGCCCCAGAGAGTTCTCTTCAATTAACGCAGTACATCACCGGGCATGCAGATTTTACCTAGGAGTGGGCAAGTACACGTCTAATGCAGCGGTGACGGGAGATATGGGCTGGATACCACCACAGATACGTCAATGGAAGTCAGTTATTGGCCACTGGTTCCGGCTAAATGCTTTGGACAAAAGTAGACTTAACAACCATATTTTCCAGTGGTCATTTAGTTTCAAGAGCCCGTATGAAAAAAACTGGTGTTTTAGTCTTGAAAAACTTGTAACGCGCGCAGGGCAAAATACATTAAAAACCAATGATATCTATCCAGTTGCAACAAGAAAACAAATTAATAACGAAATACAATCGTTTTTGTTTAATGAATTTAAAGCTAACTGGCAAAGATGTATAAACTCAGATACGGGAGTTAGTGGCAAAAATAGAGGTAATAAATTAAGACACTACAGAACATTTTAAGAGTGAATATAAAACAGAAACATATATTAAAAGTGAAATTTTATCAAGAAGTCACAGAAGTGCTTTGGCGAAATTTAGAACTGGGGTAGCCCCTCTCAAAATAGAGACTGGTCGCTATAATAGCTTACCAATTGATCAAAGACTATGTTTTCACTGCAACACATGTATTGAAGATGAGATTCATGTATTAATCCATTGTTTTTTATATGACACAATTAGACAAGAGTTATATAGAAAAGTCACTGAACAGAATCAAGATTTTCCATTGTATAGTGAGTCAGAACAGTTTGTCTATCTATTGTCAAATGCCGATATTGTTAAATATACGGCCAGAGCCTGCTCTAATATTTTACAAGAAAGACGTAGAAAGTTGTACAATTGCATGTGATATTTGCTTAATATTTTAAAAATGAGTTTATAAGTTTTAATATGTATATATCTATTTTCACGGTTTGACATGTTAAATAAGTATTTTATTAATAATGTCTTAATTTAATGTTTATACGAGTCGTTTAAGGTTTGTTTTAATTTCCAAGAATGAGATTATGTTTATTTTATATGGTAATGTGATATTCAATATTATCTCTTAGTCTCTCATAACTCTTTTAGAGTGGTTTTGTACATTACTTGCATTTTATCTATTTTATTGTATTTAATATGTTATATATGTAAAAAAGTGAGACTTAAATAAATTATCTGTCTGTCTGTCTGTCTGTCTGTCTGTCTATATTAAAACGCATTCATATAAAATTATTGGAACAACCATCGAGCAATTAAATGATGAAATTTATCTTTAGCGATTACCGGAGAGAGCAAGTAAGGGCATTAAACAGGAATTTGTACACAGAAAAAGCTGTCAGATGTAGATAAAACGTACATCATTTACGTCACGACTTCTTCCTGGATTTCACATTTGTTAGTTATATTCATTCAAATCACTTCTTTTCCAATGACATCGACGACGTTTTCGTTGTATAAGACCGATTTTTATGACAAGAATTACATTTCTCTACTGGTGAGAGGACTATCCAAACAAACAAAATACAAGTTATCAATTGCAGTTAAATACTATTGTTGTCGTTGCTTTTTTACATTTATTTCCACATACTGATGATTGTGTCAATAGCTTTTGATCCAATTCATAAGGTATGTAACAAAATCTAAACTATATTATCTATGTACAAAATAAATGGTAAAAACTAGGTTCCTTTGAAACCATAATAAGATATAAAAAAAGATTCGTTAACTAGTTTTTATAAGCAAAGAGTTATTATTATAATGCATTCTAATGAACCTGATTATTAACAGAATACATTTTCAAATACCCTGATAATTGCATTTGTGCCTAAATATTCACGATTAATATCATAACTTAAATTATAGCATTGCGTTCTTTCAGGGAAATTGTTGTAATTTCTTTATGACTTTTTGTGCACAAATATGGATTGACCAACTTGTTCCATAATCATATTATTTACTTGCGATGAAATATTATTTTGGCACCACCGTCTACTTGTGGCATCAAACTATTTTAAGATATCTTTTTATTTGTGTCAAGTATCAAAGGTTTCATAAAACGAAAATGAAAGAAAGTCATACATAGGTGTTCATTCGTACACGTTCTTTTAATGTCTTATAGATGTAGAGTGCTTCCCTCTGTGATATAAGTCAATTCCAACATTTCATTTAATATATAAAAAATTATCCATTTGTCTGATTTAATGTAAAAACTTGTAAAATATAAAGTCAAGTCTGATACAATTCTAAGGAAAGTGTCATGATTTTCTCCTTACATGCAATCAGTAAAATTGTTTGTGTAGTTAATTTTACCCCAGAGTATTTAAAATTAACGTTGTGATAAGGCACGATTTCAATTGGTTTCGACCTGTGTAAATTAATGTTCTAAACTTATAGCAAGGAAATGCATTGCAGTACTCAGTGCAATCTCAGCTACCCAATATATACGTGAATTGTTTTAATGCCATTTTTTTATATTATTTTAACACAGTGTTTCCTGTTGTTGTTTTTTCTTCAATTTGTTATACTTCACCAAATTTGGAAAACTTTTTTCTTATCAAAACTTACGGGGGAGGAAGTGTTACACGAGGGATGAAGTTCTTATGATAACTTGTCAAGGAGTTCTTGTGATAACTTTCACGGAGTTCGTCGGAAAACTATTGTATATATGAAAAGTGGTAATGTTCATCTTTAAAAGGTGAGTTTTAGGTGTAAAATTAAACTTTAATTATTAAGCCTGCCTTACATATTGTATTATGTGTCAAAAATTAATTAATTCCATTTTTCATCGCCTCTTGCTTAAAATCTCGAAATTTTGAGTAAATATTTCAAATTATTTGCCAATTGGCATTATTGACCTATTTATTTCAAGTCTTCATCTTTGCCTTATATAATTACCTAATGATAATACAAACTTGTAAACATAAAGCCCCGGCTAACAAATTTATACCCAATTTTTCAAAGGCCCCGACGAACTCCGGGACAGTTATCACAAGAACTTCTTGACAAGTTATCATAAGAACTCCATCGTGTAAAACTTCCTTCCCAGTGAAACTGAACAAGAGACGGGTGACGAGTATTCTTGGTGTGTAACAAATATTCAGCAATAGCATTCCTTAATCTAACATGAAAACTTGAAAATATGGTATATAAATAGTATGTGATTATGCTTAAATCATTTAAATTTTCCCCGATTTAATGTGACGTTTTTATGTGTCTCTGTGGTATTCAAAATGCATTCATAGTCTATCTAATGATTCCACTTTAAATCTGTTTTCTCGATTATGGATTCTTTCTGTATCAGAGAGAACGTGACATTAACAATTAACATGACAGATGCCATTACTTTCTCATTCGATAATTGTAATCAAAATAAAGTCTGTACACAACTTAAGGCCGTCAGGAATATGAATGTGCCTCATAGTATAAATTTGTTATGTTCGTTTAGATTGTTTTGACATTATAAAGGTCGTGAGGTGGATTTCCAGCTTACTTGTGTTTTGTTCTTGTAGATATCATCAGTCGCTTCTGTGCGTTATTTCAAGCTTTAAGATGCATTTTGACTTTTCCTTCCAATGATCTTTAATCCTACATTCTAATGATGATTATGTACTCTTAAAAACACCGAAACATTAATAAAATCTAATTCTAATGGTTTTTGTGATATCCAAATACATGTATCAGCTGAAGTTGACTTTAATATCAAATATAGACCAGATAATATAAATAAAACACAATAAGTGTGTAAATGCATTGATCACGCAAAACTGGCGATTCAGACCCACGATCCTCACGTATCATAAGTTCTTAGGGCTTAAAAGTCTGATGCTCTACCGATTGAGCTAGTCGGGCGCTTATTATGGTTTCAAACTGGCTAATTTATTTTGCACATAGACAAAGAAGTTTAATTATTGGTTTAATCCCTTCCAATTTATTTGTTTGTATTACCAAAACAGAACAAATTTTATTACACTTAAACTGTACAGTTTCTAGTGTTTAACAAAGAATAATACATATATATATATAATACATGTATTATATTAAACAATACATTTAGGATAAAAATGAATGAAATTATGTATGTACAACACAATAACGGATGAACTAATGTTTTCTTAAAAACAACACGCATACGTTATAGAATGAAAAAAAAAAACAAGACAAACAACCTGTAATTGCATATTTAAGAACAAGGAATTAATAAACTTACCTTCTCTATCGATGATATAAACGATATAGTGTTAACACTAAAGCGAAAGTATAATGATGTCAAATATATTTTATGATAATGCTAATTGTCAAACAGTGCACACTATTCTGCAAAATATCATTTTTCTATGCAATGTTTGAACAATTGCTTTCGATACATGTATGCATATTTTCTAT